CTCTACTTGGAGCATCTCGAGTAACTTCCTCTGTCTGCTGTACTGACGGCTATGGCCAACAACCACGGCCTTTGAGGGGCCCACTGAGTCTGAAGCTCAAAGAGGACATGAACCCTAGAACGAAGTCACAGATCCTGCTTTCAAACCTTGGGAAAGTGCGTGTATGTGCTGACCAGGTTTGCCATACCTGTGCTGTTTTGAAAGAACCTTCTCCACTTTCCCTGTAAGCACACTCCAGACATAGAGAGAGCCCTCAGCTGAGCCTGCTGCCACATAACTGCCATCAGGGCTGAGGAGACAGAGAACAAAAGTTATTAGCTCCCCATCCCAACTCAGCATCCCCATGACCCTCTTCCCAAGAGGTAACGCTTCCTCACAGGAGGCAAGCATGCAACTACTTCTCTGGACACCCTCATTACTTCTTGGGGGTTCAAGTCCCTAGCCATCTATCAGACGCAGGAAACACATAGGGAGGCCAAAAGCCAACCTCCAAACAGCTGACAGTTCCCAATTTGCTTGCTGAATGGTTCAGTTGAAAGTAGAAAAGGAACAGGAAGCATCAAATGTAGAGATGCTTCTCCAGAGTACAGGTGATGATCCTGGACACACAATTGGGAGTAGCATGGTATATGGGAGAAGATAGGAGGAAAGGGCAACTAGAGACCACCTTGAGTTGCCATCTCTCAAGTGCCAGCTCAGTTCCACCAAGTTTCCAGGGCTTTCCTGCCATTCCCCTAAAGCTCTCCAACAGGCTGGAATAAATGGGTGGGTAATGGAAGGGGAATCTGATGGCCCACCCAGAACCAAGCAATAATTATTTTTGGGCACAATCCACTTAAGTTTGTGCAACTGCAAAAGGAACATTAGGAAGGGAAGAGACACTGATGGTGAACCCAGAATGATCTTCAGGCTCACTCCTGCATGCTCTAGTTCACACCCTGGACAAATCCAGCTCTATTTACTTCCCCAGCAGGAAAACCCCATGTGCTAACCTGAGGTTAACCAAGCTGGGTTGGGACAGTGCTACTAACCTGAAGACAACTCTAGTCCAGTCAGAGCCGCACTTGAATCCAGGTGCACTGAAATAAACAATAGGCACTGTCACCCCAAAAGCTCAGCTAGTGGGACAGAAGCAGACAGGGCCAGGGTCCTGAGAGACCCCTCAACTCTGTTACCTGAACGTCTGCTTGATGGCATTTGTCCGCAGATCAATGACTTTCAGCAGGTCATCACGGGAACAGCTCAGAAGTTCAGTCCTTTCTGGGTTTAGATCCAAGGCAGTGATCTTCCCCAACAGCTCCATTTCTCGAACCACACTCTCTGACCTAAGGGAGATGAAAAATCTGAGAAACCTAACATAGAAAGGTCAGAACGTCTCTACTTTAACTAGGATGCTGTGTCACACAGAAGAGAAGGTGCTGCAAGTCAAGGATCCAACAGCAATCAACATGTTCTCAGGCTCAGAGGGACAACTTTGTTATTTTCCCATCAATTGGGCCTCCTCTGTTGATTTTATCTAGTAGTTTTGAGTATTAAAACTCTGAATCTGGGAAGAATTTTCATGGCAATCAGAATTTCTGATCAGCCAGTATCCAATTTGTATTACTTTTTCTTTTCTTTTTGGTGTTTGGGATCAAACAGGCCTCACGTGCATGTTGAATCCATGCTCTACCATAAGCGCACCTCAAGCTCCAATCAGTACCATTTTAATGACAACTTGTGCTTTTAGATAAGTGTGGAAGAGACCTTGCTTTAGTGGGCTGGGAAGTCTGCTACTGGCATCTTACCATATTCAGTTTGGCTTGGCCTTAAACTCCAAGGTAGCTGCCCTAGGCTCTCTGTTGCTGTTTCCCCTGTCCTTTGTGCCCTAGTCTACACAGGTCAGTGAACAGTCCCCTGGGTAGACAGGGCCACAGCCAAGGGAAGTCCTGACCCCTCCATAGTGATTTATTTGTTTGTAGTGGGGACTGAACCCAGGGGTGCTTTACCACTGAACCACATCCCAGTACTTTTTGAGACAGGGTCTAAGAGGCTGGCCTTGAACTAGCAATTCTACCTTAGCCTCCCAAGTCACTGGGATTACAGGCAAGTGCCACACAAAGCCCAGCTCCACAGTGATATTTTTGTAAGCTTCTAATGAATTATTTTCTACTGTAACTAGGAAGTTTTTCTTATTGTTGCTAAATCTGTAACTTGAGGCATACCGCACTACTGCTTTGGAATCTTTAACAGTTGAATTAGGGAGTGAACTAGGAGACTTGCAACATCTATCCAATTTAACTCTAAAAATTCCATGTTTCAACGTCAAATTTCTCTTCAGATGCCCTTTTATATCTTGCCCTCTACTGCCTTGGATTCAGGTCCTCATCAACTCTTTGATAGCCCTGCATTCCAACATGACCTCTACAAATGACACCAAAGTAATCTACTAAAGTCTTGTGAAGTAATCATGTCCTTTCTTAACACTTAATGACTCCAGGACAAAGACACAGCCATGTGTGGTGTCTCATACCCACAATCCTAACTACTGGGGAGGCTGAAGCAGGAGGATTGCAAGCTAGATGCCAGCCTAGGCAACAAAGAGAGACCCTGTCTCAAAATAAAATGAAAAAGGATAGGGGGAGAAAAAAGGATTGAGAGGTCTGGAAACAACTCATACAGCCTATGGAAATTTATCCCAACTCGTATTACCCTATCAATCCCAGTGGCCCACGCCCTCCACTTCCTGCCCACTTACTTTTTTTTTTTTTTTTTTGGTATAGGGGATTGAAACCAGGGCACTCTATCACTGAGCCACATCCCTACCCCACCCACTTTTTACATTTTATTTAGAGACAGGGTCTCACTAAGTTGTTGAGGCCGGCTTTGAACTCGTGATCCTCCTGCCTCAGCTATTCTCTCAATTCTCCAGACTAATCATAACATCCTTGGACAGAGGCAGCCATGTCTACTTTGGTACACTGCTCACTGACTTGTGTATCTGTCCCTTGGATTTTATTTCAATTGGCCCAAGACAGGCTGGTATCTTGTCATCTCTGCAACAAGGGGCCTGCCCATGGTGTATGTGCAACGACGGAAGGCTAACCCCAGCAGCTGACACTGCAGTGAGGAAGAGAGAGCATACTGTTAAGATATTGGTATCCTAGAGCTCATTTCTGCCATTTCCTGAGATTTAAAAAATATAACCCACCTACGACACATTCCCACAACTCTACCGCATACAGACTTTTGTCTGCTCCCCCTCCAAGTTTTTGGGTGACATACCGGATATCCCAGAAACGAATTTTCTTGTCAAAATGTCCACTCATTACGCACTGCTCTGTGCAAACAATATCATTGCAACTGGATCCTGCAAACACTGTCTTTATGCCTGAAAGAAAATCAAACACCATTCATCAAGCATAGCCACCAAAAAGCTATGTATACAACACTGCTACACTCTACCCACTCAACTATCACAATTACCATTTAAATGAAATTTTATTTAAATGAAACCTCAAATAGCAACTGCCACTATCTCAGTGCCCCTCTTAATATGAAACCGAACCCGAACTTCACAGTGTACCACATGAAATGCAAGCTCAGAAACACCACCTCCAAGACTACTGTCTACACGAATACACAGAGAGACTGAATTTCCTCACAGACTTTGCTGCGAAGGTCCCAGAGTTTGAGCGTCCGGTCATGACTTCCTGAGACGATCCGTGCATTGTCCAGCAGGAACTTAGCAGAGAGCACTTTCCCACTATGTCCTGTGAGTGTGTGCTAGGAAAGAAAATAGCCACTGTGAGCCTTGGGGTGCAACCAGCTGGCCATGCTGGAGGAGCAGGAGGCACTCAATCCTCCAGAGCCAATCTCAAAACACCCTGAGATCCAACCAGGAACTCCAAGACGATGGGAAGGTAAAGAGCAGGAAACATAGGACAGGAGGCATGTTCATTCACTTAGTCTCAACAAAGGAGGCTACATATTTCCTATGAAGCAATTTCATTGAGGCAGCAACATTTCTGGTCTGAGTAGCTTACAGAAAATTCCAGGAAGTCTCTGTCTTTGGGTGTTGTCAAGAGGTGAGATCTTTCTATGGCTTGAATCTTTTTTTTTTTTTAAGTTGTAGTTGGACACAATATCTTTAATTAATTAATTAATTTTTATGTGGTGCTGAGGATGGAACCCAGGGCCTTGCCCATGCTAGGCAAGAACTCTACCACTGAGCCCCAGCCCCAGCTTGGATCTTGAATGCCTCTCAAAAGCTCATGTTTAAAAGGCTTGGTCTGCAGCCTATGGCACTACTGCAAGTGCAGATGCTTCAGGAGGTGGTCATAGATGGGGAAAGTCGAGGTCATTCCCCTGAAGGGGATACTGGGGTCCTGGTCTTTTCCCATCTCACTTTTTGGTTCTTGGCCAAAATGTGAATGGGTGGGGCCCTCTACCATGCACTCTTGTCATCATGTGCTGTACCACCACAGGCCAAAGGTGACAGGGCCAAGCAACCCGAGATTGAAACCTCTGGAACCACAAGCCAAAGTAAATCTTTCCTCCTTTTAAGCTGCTTACTTCAAGGTATTTTCCTGCAGCAACAGAAAGCTAACGTAGGTTTCAAGACTAAGAGGATAAATCTCCCAATAGCATTAAATAAAACCCTAGCATCACCAGCACCAAACTTCCCTGTCCTTCCCTGTCCTTGGAAGGGGTGGGGGTGGTGAGAAAAGAAAGGGGCAGGTGAGTGGGCATGGGGGACCATATCTGGGGCCTGCCCTTGCTAGGTAAGTGCTCTCCCACTGAGCCACACCCCCAGCTCTACTACAGACACCTGCTTATTCTGTTCTTGATTTTTTTTAAAAAAAATCAATCTCCATTATATCAAAATAAAAGAGTTTAAAAGCCTGGATTTTGTCCAGTACCACTGCAGTGAGGTTAGACAGGTTATCTGCAGACATTATTTATTAAAGGAAGCATAAGAACTTTACATACTTAAAAGCTCTGGGGCATTTTCCGTCAGAGGTCTCAGCTTGAAAACGTCAGATCACAGCCACAGATACCAGCTCTCCCAACCAAAAGTCCCTTGCCCTTCGTGGCTAAGCTGTTGGATGCAACCACCGTGTCTTCCCTTGGCTCACCAGGGAACACAGACTCAAGCCATCCCTGCCTGTCAGCTGCTCTCTGGCCCATTGTGGCACCACTGGAGCCTGATGGGATTGAGGCAGCTGGGGACATTCAGGATGCTGGGAGGGGACCTGGGCAGTCAGACCTTTTACTACTCATCATCGACCTCTTTTCACAATGGGACTGGCATTTTTATACATAAAAAATTCCAAAAGTTCAACAAGTATTCAACCGGCCAGGGACGTGCCTCAGTGGTAAAGGGTTTGCCTGGCATGTGTAAGGCCCTGGGTTTGATCCCCAGAACTGCCAAGGGGAAAACAAACCCCAAAATGGCAGCAAATAACAAAAACTCAAAAGGTATTCACTGATCACTGATGCTTTCTTTCAAAGTAAAAAAAAAAACACAAAAAAACAAACAAAAAAAACCTCCTTGAGTCCAGGAACTCAAGCCATTACACCCACATCCCACAAGCAGAAATGAAAGGACAAAGGAAGGAGCAGCCCACCCCACCCATCCAGCTCATCAGTGCACTGACAATTCCTACTGCCAGGTCTCAGTGAAACTGCCACACCAAGCTAAGGGTTTCAACTTTTAAAATGGGGATGGGAAGAATAAATATTGAAAAATACCTATGAGTATGCACTACCTCTTGTCACCTTCTATTCTCTATATTCTACTGTATTTTTCTTCAAACTATTTGATAATATCTGTAAACTTCTGGTAAGATCAAAAAAACTCCAGCACAAAAAGAACTCTTCTCAGCACAAACTGGCTGAGGTTTCTGAATTAAAAACTACATCTTACCTAGGAGCCGATCCTTATAACAGGTACTTTTCCACATTGGTTACAGAAGTGAGCAGCTGGGTATTCAACTCAGTTAGTTCCTCAAGACAAATAAGCATCCAGGTAGTTGTGCAGTAACTTTTAGATTTTTTTGGTACCAGGGATTGAACACAGGGGTGCTTTACCACTAAGCCACAGCCCAAGCACTTTGAATTTTGAGACAGGGTCTCACTAAGTTGATGGATTGAAGTCCTACACCACCGAGTACCATGTAACTTTAGAAAACAGGGACCCTATTTTGTTTCCTGAACCCATTGAGAGTTTCATGAGTATTCTCTGGGTAGAGAATCCACTGTAAAAGGCCTCCAGATCTTCAAATGCTTACTTAGGGATGGGACGCCATTGAAAACAGGTCAAGGCCCTCAGTACCAACTGGTCTTGAAAGGAGGGTACAGTTCTGACATGGTACCATCAACAGCAGCCTGTGAAGGTAGGGGTTGCCCACCAGCATCCTGTGGGCACTCTCTCCAAGGAGGAGTGGGTCCATCTTTCCACCTTGCTCACTTGGACAAAGTCGCCCAATACTCTGGCCTTTGTCTTTTAGGTCTACCTTCCTAGGCCTCCTTCTTGATATTTCAGGGCCAAAGCTAGAAGGCCATCTGTATGCAACTTAGGAATGAAAAATACCATCCTGCACAAATGGTTTACTCTCAAAAGATTCCCTCCTCCTCCAGGGCCTAAGATCAAGGAAGGTTATTGGTACCTCTTCAATGATTAGATGGCCTTGCTCTATTCTCAGTGTTGAATAATATAGACCAGCTGAATGTAGGAAAGAGCATAGACCTCAATTAAAACGCTAACCTTATTATTTACTAACTGCATGACTTTAGACTCCTTCCCCTTTGTAGGTTATTTAAGACTAAAATTCCTCCTCTACCTCCATCCAGAACAAAAACACAACGCATTCATCTTTTATCACCTTTAGGGCTCTGCTCTGCATTTCTTTTCTTAAAAAATATTTTCTTAGTTGTCAATGGACAGACATACATACATATATATATATATA